TAGTGGGAAGTTACACGTCTTCCCACAGTGGCAGGTGACTCAGCGACCTGTAACTCAGTAAGCCCTTGCTGGATGTTTAGTTACCACGCGTGATGTGACACAGATGGTGAAAGCACCTTAGGTAGCAGGTCGGCACCGGCCTTACTGTCCAAGGACATCTTTCCCATCCCTGAGTGCCACTCGTGTTGGGATTCTCGCCCGCGAGGTACCCATTGCAAGAATGAAGTTTCAAGAAGGTAGTGGCTTCTGGAGTCTTGCCTTCCAACGTTTTCACAGAATCCTGGCGAGCACAGGGCTGCCTGGCACCGGCACCACCCACGCCCACGCACGCGCACACACGCCCACATACTCACACGCAGGTCCACAGACTCCCTGAAGGACCGCTTAAAAGAGAACCGCATGTGCACAGGCACAGCTGGTCTGCGCTGTCCGCCTTGTGTGTGTCCTTCACGGGCACTGCAAGCTGGTTCCGTCCTCTAGGGTACGTTTCGGTACCGTTCCAGAGCCGAATGGAAGTGCTTCTGTTGCCGTAGACTCCTGATTGTCTGGAGTATCACCGCTGTCATTCTTCTTAGGCCTTCATTTTCAAAATGTTGGTTGGGAGCGCCACAGGCCATCTGGAGAGGGAAGATCGTAATGATGGTGCAGACGACAGCGTCCAGATGACGACCGGTCTGGGACACAATGGCAGGAAAAAAGATGGAGAAAGCTGGAGTCAAAGCATCACTTTGGGTCTTAAATTTTTTTCGTGTGGATACATTTTCCCCACTTGTCCACTATGAGGTATTTCAAACATACAGAGGAATCAAAAGAATGTTCTTGCAATTTACATAGATCCAGCAGCTGGTCATGTTAGGCCCCACTGGCTTTCTCCCTGTGCTGACCCAGTCTTGAGTGCTTCCCCGGTAAGACCTTTGGCAAGGGTCTCCCCACGGGAAGCAGGGTTCTCCAGCCACGACACTGTCGTTCCGGCCAAGAGCATGAACAGCGACTCCTGACGCGACATCTACAGCTCTATTCAGTTGTCTTCTGTTATCACGGCAGTCTTTTTTTCTCAAAATGTGGCAAAATACACAACATATCCTTCACCATTTTAAAGTTCAGAATTTAGTGGCGTTTGGTTTATCCCCAGGGTTAGTACAGCTATGACCAACGTGACGTTCTAGGACATTTTCAGAAATGTCTTTTACAGCTCTTTAGCGCCCGGCTAGCTCAGTCGGTAGAGCATGAGACTCTTACAGCTCTTTGTTCAATCAAAGTTTAATCAAGGTGCAGCTGTTTCATTTGGTTTTATCTTTTTAGTTAGTTTTCATTTGGAGAACTCTTTGTGGTGGTTTTCTTTCTTTCTTTCTTTTTTTCTTTTTTTTTAAGATTTTATTTATTTGACAGACAGGGATCACAAGTAGGCAGAGAGGCAGGCAGAGAGAGGAGGAAGCAGGCTCCCCACTGAGCAGAGAGCCCGATGCGGGACTCGATCCCAGGACCCTGAGATCATGACCTGAGCCGAATGCAGAGGCTTTAACCACTGAGCCCCCCAGGTGCCCCTGTGGTGGTTTTCTTTCTCCTGGTGACATGGCATTTTTGAAGTGTCCGGGCCGGTGGTTTGTAGCACGTCCCATGTGTGGGCCAGGCTGAAGTGTTCTTAATTTTGTGTGTGTCCCGTCACATGAAAATCAGCCCCAGAGCAGTGCTTCTCAAACAGCGGAGTGCAGAGGCTCTTGACACCAATTGTGGGCTCGTTCCAGAAGTTTCTTGTTTCTTGGGGTGGCTCCGAGAATTCTGTTTCTGTCACATTCGCAGGTGATGCTGCTGGTTGGGGACTGCACTTTGAGAACCACTGCTCTGGGATTGAGCACGTACAGTCAGTGTGTGCGTGTGCTGGCAGGAGTGTGGGGCTGCTGCGTACTGTATCACAGCCGCAGGCGGACGTCAGGTCGTCCTGTGGCGACTGGTTCTCAGTGTGAATCTAGCTGAAGCCGCTGATCTTCCACATCGTGGGTTTCCATTGGCCGCTGTGAGTAATCAGTGGGTGGTTCTCCAGCACCGGGACTCCTCTGTTCCCCAACGGCGCTTTTATGCCCGCCCCCCCGCCCCGCCAGGTCTTCGTGGATTTTCCAGATTATCTTTCTGTTTCCGGTTTATTTGCTTCATTTATTTTTCAAATTTATTTTTATTTTTTATTTTATATTTTTATTATGTTATGTTAGTCACCGTACAGTACATCCTTAGAGAGAGAGTGAGAGAGAGAATGAGCAGGGAGAGAGCAGCAGAGAAACAGACTCCCCACAGAGCGGAGAGCTCCATCCCAGGACCCTGGAATCAAGACCTGAGCTGAAGGCAGACGCTTGACCAACTGAGCCATCCAGACATCCCTGTTTTGTGTGTTTTTTTTTTTTTAAGATTTTATTTACTTCAGAGGAGATGGAGAGAGACAAAGAGTGCGAGCAGGAGTGAGGCGGAGGGGTGGGGGAGGCAGCAGGCCGCCCACTGAGCAGAGAGCCGGTTGCGGGACTGGATCCCAGGGCCTGAGACCATGCCTTGAGCTGAAAGCAGACCCTTAACTGCCTGAGCTCCCCAGACACCCCTTTCTGTTAGTGACTTTTGGAAGAAATTCCTTCATAGTGAGAGAACATACTTTGTCTGATTTCAGTTCTTTCGGATTTGTTAGTTCGCATTATGGCCCGGGATGCGGCCCGGGAAGGTGTGTTCACTGCGCCTTTGCTGCGGACATTCTGCTGTGCAGGGTGCAGTGGCCCGTCAGTGGCGGCCAGGGCGGGCCGGTCGCGTCGACCACATCTTTGTGTCCTTCCTGACACTCTGTTCTGTCCGTTACGAAGTCTCCAGGCAGGATTCTGGACTGGTCTCTCCTTTCACTTACGTGTTCTGTACTTTGTTTTTTTTCAAAACTGGTGAGAGGTGCCTGCCGTTCATGACTGCTCGAGCTTGTAGGTGCTTTGATCGTTCATCATTCTGTGACGTCCTTCTTTATCCTGGGCACTGCCTCCGTTCTATTTTTTTTATGTCTTTTTTGTCATATATTACAGTAGCTACTTTTCTTCCTTTGAAAGAGCATTTGTATTGTATCTTTTTCCATATTTTTATTTTTAATCTTTTAACATATGCCATTACATTTCAAGTATTTTTATTTTTTTGTAGGTAGTGATTTTTGTCTTCTAGGTGACATTTGACAACGTCTGGACACATTTTTATTGTCACGCCTGGGGGGATGCTGCTACTGGTGTCAAATGTGTAGCGACCCGGGTTGCTGTTGAACATTCCACAGTGCGCAGGACAGCTCCGTCAACAGAATTCCGTGACCCAGAATGTTCGTGGTTCCACTGTTGAGACGCTCCGCTCTAAGGACTGCAGTGTCCAGCTTCTCACTGTTCCTGTCTTACACTTAATGTAAACCGAGGCGCTGCCTGCTCCGTGCAGGATGGCTGCCGTAGCCATTGCCGTCTTCCTGTACTGAAAACTTCACCGGACGATGTCCAGCTTTTCCTTTCAGTTATCGTACACGTTTTAAAGAATTTTGTGTTCTTCATTCCCGAAATTCCAAGTTTCCTAATGGTATCATTTTTCTTCATCTTAAAACTCTCTTTGGCATTCTTCTGTACGAGCTCTGCTGGTAACACGTCCTGCAAGTTTCATCTTTCATCTGAAAATGTTTTTGTTTTGCTTTCATTCCTGGAGGATCTTTTTGCTGGATTTAGAATTCTGGGTTTGAACCTTTTTCCCCCCTCAGCACTTAGACATGGAATCCCTCTCCTCTAGCCTCCTCTCTCTCCGTGAGAAGTCCACGGGCGTTTGAATTCACGTGCTTCTCTTTGTAACGAGTTGTTTTCCTCTGGCTGCTCCCAAGAATTTGCGTTTGTCTTTGTTTTAAGTATTTTGAGTACAGTGTGTTTTTTGTGATTTTCTTTGACTTTATCCTGTTTCAGGTTTGCCGTTGTCTTTAAATAGGTTGTGGTATTGTCTGGTGCTCATTGATGCTGTAGTCTTGGGCTTGGTTGGTTTTATTTGTCTTCTGTAAAGTCAGTGGCCTTCAGAGGGTGTGAGGAGAAATTTCAGTTTCAGTGACTGCCATCCTCTCCCAGGGACAGAGGGGTCTGCTATCTTACGTTTACGATTGACCTAATACCTACCAAGGAGGCTTGATGTAAAATCAAATAAGATGGCATTTGTGGGCTCTCCATTGTATGTTCTGATGAATTTTTGGTTCTCAAGTTAAGCTTTTATTTTTAAAATGTAAATATGTCCACGATTGAGGAAAGATACATGGGTTTTTGATAGCGTAGGCTGCTTGTTTTTTGAATCACAAGAGGATTATTGAACTCTAAAAGGGACGCTGGTTGTGGAGGAAATTATTTCATTGAATGAAAAGTTTAGAAAAGGGAATAACAGAGAGTAAGTGTAAGTGGGACATAGCACCCATGCTACCCATATCAAATCTGACAACAAACCAAGGGACGCACCGTGTTCCCACCTTTAAGCATAAGACACCTTCATAATTCAAAAGTCACTTCCACGACTTTGGTTGATGAATACAAAGTTGGGCCAATTTTACATCACATCAGTCTGTAGCAGAGTGTTTAGAAATGACCTGGAAGTATACTTTTTTCCTAATATTTCAGATGATTCTTTTTTTTTTTTTTTTTTTTTTTTTAATACTCCTGAATTGAACACCATGAGTGGATGGTGCTCTTGAGCTGATGGGTCACACCGTTGGCTTCGTGGAGGGCTCCCCTCAAAGCGTGGTCATGTCTGCTTCCTCGGGCAGCCCGTACCTTTCCTGTTTACCCGGGCTAAGTACATTTTTTGTAAGGGGAAGTAGCATCCCTTATTTGTAATGGCTTGCCTCCCCTGTAGACAGCTCAGTTTGAAGAGAAAACACAAGTGTGATTAGTAGAATTGGGCCAGCTCTTGTCTTAAATAATACCCTTGCCTGTGACAGAAGACTGCTTGGCCTGTCTCAGCACTCTGTTCTTACCTCTGACCAGGTACCAGCTGGAAGATGAGTCTGCCCATTCGGATGAAATGCCACTAATGATGTCTGAAGAAGGCTTCGAGAATGACGAAAGTGATTACCACACATTACCACGAGCTAGGATCGCGCGAAGGAAGAGAGGGCTGGAGGGGTTTGTCTGTGGAGGATGGAAGTTCCTCTGCACCAGGTTTGTGCTCTTGCTGCCTAATTTCCTGTGCTGTCAGGTCCACAGTTAAGGTATTTATAAGCTCCGCTTCTGACGCACTTATTCTTATATCAAAGTAAAGAAGACGCTCTAATGAGATGACATCATAGAGAGTGTTGAACATTAGTTAAAAGCAAATAGTGCTAATCAGAAAACGAAAACCAAGTTCACTTTTTTTTTTTAAAGATTTTATTTGTCAGAGAGAGAGAGGGTGGAAGCGCATAAGCAGGGGAGCCGCAGGCAGAGGGAGAGGCAGGCTCCCCGCTGAGCAAGGAGCCCCATTCAAGACTTGAATCCAGAACCTTGGGATCATGACCTGAGCCAAAGGCAGATGCTTAACTGACTTAGCCACACAGGTGTCCTCAAGTTCACTTTTTTAATGAGAAATTTAAATGTTTAGAAGACTGGGGCGCCTGGGTGGCTCAGTGGGTTAAGCCGCTGCCTTCGGCTCAGGTCATGATCTCAGAGTCCTGGGATCGAGCCCCGCATCCGGCTCTCTGCTCTCTAGGGGAGCCTGCTTCCTCCTCTCTCTCTGCCTGCCTCTCTGCCTGCTTGTGATCTCTCTGTCAAATAAATAAATAAAATCTTTAAAAAAAAAAAATAAAAAATAAATGTTTAGAAGACAGAGAAAGAGTGGTTTTGTCCTGAATGCATGGTAGAGTCAGTTCTGGTCACTGTGTTGGCATTTGTGAACAGTTCTCTGTTCTCTCCCATCTGTAATCCTGCTCTCATCCAGAAAGGCAGATACGGGCGTGTGAAATGCAGTTTAATAACACCGTGGCTCCGTGTGTCGTTCAGCTTGAATGCTTAGACTTGGAAGAATATTCTTCATTTAATTTAACCAGGAAGAAACAAAGATAAGAACTGTTCGGATTTGAAACGAGTTCACTGGTGGCTGAGATAAACTTCAGCTGTGCTCATCCTGGGCTTTGGAGTCTGGTCTGTGAAACGGCACCCTGTGCTCACTGGCTGTCCTCCAGCCCGGGGACAGGCAGGGCGAGATTTCAGCTGACCGAATCCAGCATAACTTGAGTGGGGTGTGTCAGATAAATGACAACTTTTATAGTCTTTCTGCTGTGTTAAGTGTGTCGTCAGTGCCTTTCTTACCAGCATGAATTTATATCCCTTTGCCCATAAAAGGAGTATAGTAATTGTAGAAAGGTGTCGTGTTTATCATTCTCAGTAGCTCTTTAGAAGTTTGCAAAAAGATGTTTTTACAACTGATTTGATTTCGGGGACGGCTCATGTGGTGGTGTTCAAACAGTGGCCCATGGACTCCCAAGGACTCTGAGGGGTCCCTCCGAGAGCTCGGCCTCGCAGACTCAGGAAGTTAGCCAGGCAGGACATAGGCTTATCACCCCTCTCAGCCTCCAGTTAGTGTCTGACTTTATCTTTCCAGTATATTTTAAGGTTTTCACATGAAGAAGGAATTTCATGGCTAAATAAGGTTTTAGAAGTCACTGACTTGTGTTACTAATTTTTAATGAATGGTATAGTTTTTTCAAAAAACATTTTCTGGGTTAAATAGCCAGTATTCCGAGAGTATTCTTTGGGGATATTTAACAATTCTAGACTTCATTTCTTAAATGGTGCAGGGCTGTGCAGAATTGTTTTGTTTTGTTTTTCTTGTGTCAGTTGTGATGCTTTCTGCTTTTCAGGGGGTTTATCTACTTTCAAATGTATAAATTCCTGTAATGTAAGATGTATAAGGCTCTGGACGGTTGTCACTTTTTTTTTTTTTTTTTTACTCCATCTCTGTCTCCCTTTTCCTTATTAATCTTCTTAGGAGGTTACCAGTTCTCTTCAAAGATCCAAACTTCTAGTGTTGTCTTTGCTTTTGAAATTTTAAACTTTTATCGTGAAATAAATCCAACCTTGAAATAAATTCACTTTGTTTTTTTTCACTTTGAAATTTTCAGTGGGATCAATTCTTTTTTTTTTTTTTAATTTTTTTTTAAATTAACATATAATGTATTATTAGCCCCAGGGGTACAGGTCTGTGATCAACAGGTTTACACACTTCACAGCACTCGCCGTATCACATACCTTCCCCAATGTCCATAACCGAGCCACCCTTTCCCTACCCCCGCTCCTCCCAGCAACCCTCAGTTTGTTTTGTGAGATGAAGAGTCTCTTATGGTTTGTCTCCCTCCCGATCCCATCTTGTTTCATTTATTCCTTTCTTCCCCACCAAACCCCTCACGTTGCATCTCAACTTCCTCGTATCAGGGAGATCATGATAATTGTCTTTCTACGATTGACTTATTTCACTAAGCGTGATACCCTCTAGTTCCATCCACGTCGTCGCAAATGGCAAGATTTCATTTCTTTTGATGGCTGCATAGTATTCCATTTTATATATATACCACATCTTCTTTATCCATTCATCTGTTGATGGACATCTAGGTTCTTTCATAGTTTGGCTATTGTAGACATTGCTGCTATGAACGTTTGGGTGCGTGTGCCCCTTCAGATCACTACGTTTGTATCTTTAGGGTAAATACCCAGTAGTGTGATTGCTGGGTCATAAGGTAGCTCTGTTTTCTTTTCTTTTCTTTTTTTTTTTTTTTAATTATTTGACACAGAGAGAGAGAGAGATCACAAGTAGGCAGAGAGGCAGGCAGAGAGAGGAGGAAGCAGGCTCACTGCTGAGCAGAGAGCCTGATGCGGGGCTCGATCCCAGGACCCTGAGATCATGACCTGAGCTGAAGGCAGAGGCTTAACCCACTGAGCCACCCAGGTGCCCCGGTAGCTCTATTTTCAACGTTTTAAGGAACCTCCATGCTGTTTTCCAGAGTGGCTGCACCAGCTTGCATTCCCACCAACAGTGCAGGAGGCTCCCCTTTCTCCACATCCTCGCCAGCATCTGTCATTTCCCGACTTGTTAATTTTAGCCATTCTGACTGGTGTGAGGTGGTGTGGTTTTGACTTGTATTTCCTTGATGCCCCAGTGATGTCGAGCCCTTTTTCATGTGTCTGTTGGCCATCTGGATGTTTTCTCTGCAGAAACATCTGTTCATGTCTTCTGCCCATTTCTTGATTGGATTATTTGTTTTTTGGGTGTTGAGTTTGATAAGTTCTTTATAGATTTTGGATACTAGTCCTTTATCTGATATGTCATTTGCAAATATCTTCTCCCCTTCTGTCAGTTGTGTTTTGGTTTTGTTGACTGTTTCCTTTGCTGGGCAGAAGCTTTTGATCTGGATGAAGTCTCAATAGTTCATTTTTTTTTTTTTTAAGATTTTATTTATTTATTTGACAGAGAGAGATCACAAGTAGATGGGGAGGCAGGCAGAGAGAGAGAGAGAGAAGCAGGCTCCCTGCTGAGCAGAGAGCCCGATGCGGGACTCGATCCCAGGACCCTGAGATCATGACCTGAGCCGAAGGCAGAGGCTTAACCCACTGAGCCACCCAGGCACCCCCTCTCTGATCTTTGTAGCTCGGTGCATGTCTCTTAGGAAGAGGCTGTTTTCGTATGTGGCCACTGGGCAGTTGTCATGTGCAGGAGGTAGTGTCTGGCACAGCTCTGTCTCCTGTTCCGATCCTGCCCACGGAGCGCCCTTCCTCTCTAGGTGCCATGGCGTTTAGGTGGCCTGCCTGTTCTGTTCTGTCTCCAGGAATCTGGAGCCGCTTTTTGTCTTTTGTCTTTGCCATTTCTTTGTCTTTTATTCCATCAATGTTTATGAGGACTACACAACAGGTATTTTGTAGAACATTTCAAATATTGGTTTGTCTGAGGTCTCCTCACCATTAGATTCACATTAAACATTCTCTGTGGGCCACTGTGTGGGTGACACAGTGTCCTCCTTAGGGTGTCTCCTTCCTCTGTCATTGAAATCTGGTCTGCCCTTAATCTTTTTCATCCTTTTGAGTTTAACTTACGGTTCTTCTGGCTTCCTAAGTTGGATTCTCAGATCACCAGCATTGTACTTTTTTCTTTTTTAAAAATAGATGTATTTCAGATTTGACACGTGGTATTTTCATTATCATTTAGTGCAAAATATGTTCTGATTTACATTGTCTTTTCTGCTTTAGTTGATGTTCAATTTAGAACCATGCTGCTTAATTTCCAAACAGTCGGGAATTTTCCTAATTATCTTTTTGTAATCGACTGTTAACTTTTTTTTTTTAAAAGACTATTTATTTGAGAGAGAGAAAGTGAGAGCAAGAGAGAGAGCACAAGCAGTGGGGGAGGGGCAGCGGGAGCGGGAGAAACAGAGTCGGCGCAGAGCTGGGAGACAGGAGACTGGCTGGGTCTCAGAACCCAGAGATCGTGACCTGCGCTGAAGTCACACGCTTCGTGGACTGAGCCACCCAGGGCCTGCATGATCTACTGTTATCTTAATTCCACTGTGGCCCGAGAACATACTTACAGTTTTTTTTTTCTTTCAGGCTCTGTAACGTGTTGGGACTTGCTTTATGGTTCATCGTAGATGGTCAGTGTTAGTTTTCTGTGTGTATTTGGAAATAATTTATGCTTTTTTGTTGACTGGGTTGCTTTGTATGTTAGTGAGTTGTATTTGTTCGCAGTCGTGACTGAATCGTCTGTGTTCATATTTAAAGCTACTGTCAGTGACTGAGAAACCTGCGGAGTCTCGCAACGTCATCAAGGGTGGCTCCTGCTTCGAATTGTGTCGGTTTTGCTTTATATATTTTAGGGTGTGTTACTGACGATGCGAGTGTGGGGTCACCGACTTACTGTTTGTAATTGGATTGGTCTTTGTCCCTGATAGTATTTCTTCTGTGCAGGTTCATAATGTCCAACTTCGATGGTGGATTCCGGCTTTCTTTATTTTAACTTCAGTCCGTTAACACACAGCGTGCGGCACAGGGAGTGACCCAGCACCACGTGCCGCGGCCAGTGCCCCTCACAGGTGCCCTGCTTCGTCCACGTCCCCAGTCTCACCCCCCCCTTCCCTCCCGAGACCCTCAGTGTGTCCTGTTATTAACACTTTGTTTCTTGATTTCTCTCTCTCTCGAGC